ATATATATATTAAATACAGATTTTTTTAATACAAAAACGAAAATACCGAGATGTATACCGTATATCGCAAATTGGCCAAAAAATACAGATATGAATTTTTGCCCATATCGCCCAGCCCTACTCTGTTGCATAGGTACATTCATTCTGTCAGTGTAAACTGGCCTTTCGTTCCTCCTGTCACTGTTAACATCCTTATATACACACTCCATATTGTATTTAATTAAATTTACACTAAACGAAGAATTCCTCCTACCATATTGGAGAGAAAACAAGTAGCACATTGATCTGCCAGTATTGGTTCCTTTATGCGGAGAACTCTGCTCATGTTTTTGCAAAGTTATGCATGTAATAGTACATAGGTTTTGCTATTGTGCTGTTTGAATCGTTGTAAAAGTTCACAATGTTGTTGCAAATTAAATGTTGACACTAACATTAAATAAATACTATTCATCATGATTATTAATAACTCAAACCCCTTTGCGTTATTAATAAACAGTGTGTCTCTCCTCAACCTTTGATCTCACAAACATCAGCCATGTTTGTAGTTCTTTTTATTTGTGTTTGTAGTTCTGAACTGAATCCTCCTCCAAAGCACAATGGGTTACGGCCAATATTAGCCATTAGAGTGTACACAAATCCAGTCCTTAGAAATCTGCAAGAAATAGTAGACCACCTGGGGACTTTTGGCATACTTTTTTCAAAATGCTTCACTGTATTCATCAGTAGCTGTTTCCATCAACCTGTTTTATGTGCATTTTGAAGTATTGCCTCAGAAACGAGATGGAAACACCAAATTTCATTTTTTTTAAATCCCTTAAGTCGCAAAAGTTTTTCCGCTCGCTTGAGATGGTTTTTGACTTGTGCGAAAAAGAGATAATGCGAATAATGGGAAATGGAAACACATTTGCTGAATAAATTCCTCCATGCGCAGCAAAAAAGTCATGTGACTTTGCACGATGCGACGGGATAACTTGACCTAACCAGCGGACCGATCTCGTTGCACAGCATCTGAAATGTTGTTCTGGTTGTTCTGCAAAGCCTGAGCCAAAGTATTTCTGTATACTTGCCTCCCAGAACTGTCTTACACGACTGCATTCCCAAACAGCAGGCATCCACTTCGGAAAGCAATGACCACATTTATTGTATTTCTTCTGCTCACAAGTAATTTATTATATATGAAAATTATTATCTTCAGTGGCTGTCAGTTTATCAGGAAGTGATGATTTTATTCTCTTTGACTTGTTGGATGGAAACAGTGCTTTATTCTCAAATATTAAAATTTTGCGTATTAGTAAAATTTGCTCAAAAACTCTGATTCATTCAAGAATGAAAAAAAAGTAACTGTCTTCATTACTGAGTCGCTGAATCATTCTACCGATTCATTCAAACACACTGATTGATTCAGTAATGAAACGTGTCTTCAGAATCATTGAATCATTCGTTTAACCAATTTGTTAAAGGGGTGCTATTATGCTTTTTCACTTTTTGAACTTTAGTTAGTCTGTAATGTTGCTGTTTGAGCATAAAAAAGATCTGCAAAGTTACAAAGCTCAAAGTCCAATTCAAAAGGAAATATTTTATTTAACCGAAATCACTTTTCAAAAACTACAACGAACGACTCGTTTGGACTACAACGCATATTTTCCGGGATTTGTGATATCACAAATATCGACGAATGGGACAAGACCTGGTTGAGCTGCACTAGAGAAGGCAACGAGTGTTATCACTATGTCAGAGACATGCTAGCTTTCCCAAGGAAGACGAACTTATCATCCGGGTTTAAATAGCGCTCAAATTGATTTGATTTTGACGCAATATTTACACTAAAGCTCGCAGGCAGCTATGGTAAGGGGCGTGACACCAGGCGCCGACGAGTGGTGCCAATCACAACACACACTGGCCCAGCTAACCAATCACAACACACACTGGCCCAGCTAACCAATCACAACACAAACTGGCCCAGCTAACCAATCACAGCACACACTGGCCCAGCTAACCAATCACAACACAAACTGGCCCAGCTAACCAATCACAGCACACACTGGCCCAGCTAACCAATCACAACACAAACTGGCCCAGCTAACCAATCACAGCACACACTGGCCCAGCTAACCAATCACAACACAAACTGGCCCAGCTAACCAATCACAGCACACACTGGCCCAGCTAACCAATCACAACACACACTGGCCCAGCTAACCAATCACAACACACACTGGCCCAAGACTTTGAAAAAGAGCATAATAGGACCCCTTTAAAAAATTGCTCAATAATTCAGGAACAAAACAAGTGACTGTCTTTGAGACACTCAATATTCTAATAGGTATTAATGAAAATGTAAAGCTTAACATTTTATATGCATATAAACCTGGTCACTTTTAATTGCATGTTTTCTTAGTAAATGTGATTGACTTTTTGTATGTGTGTTACAGGGTGCCACCATAAAGAAGGATGAACACACTGGAGCAATCATAGTGGCGCGCATCATGAGGGGCGGGGCAGCAGACAGAAGTGGTGAGTGCTGATGCACCTCTTCTCTCTATACACAAATGCACTCTTAACAGCACCCAGATGTTTAGTTTGTTTACTCAAAGCCTGAGATGGTTTATTACACTGAATAAACTGCTAAAGTGCTGTATGTGGTCTCTTAACTTCTCTTTTTGTCCACTCCTCTTTGTTGTGTCCAGGGCTGATACATGTCGGAGATGAGCTGAAAGAGGTCAACGGTATCCCTGTAGATGACAAAAATCCTGAGGAAATAATTTGCATCCTGGTATGTGCATGTGTCTGTGGAAAGTCAACATGAAACAGCATGTTTAACTTTTGTAGTATAACAGAATGCTGTGAAAAGGGGATTTTGTCCAAAGGGAAATGTTTGGACTGTTAATGTATGAAACATTATAGGCTGTGAAGTTAATGTTGAAGTTGGTTAATATATCCCCCCTGGCTATTTTAGCAGAAATAAAAAGTTAAAAAATGTTTAGAACTAGTGGAAGTTAATCTTTCATAATATAGTATTATCTATACGTAATATAGAATTAAATGAATAATGTTCACTGGTGCATTCATTTTGTCTTTTTATATGCTTAAAAGGTTGTTGATATGTTGTCTTTTTTTTTTACTCTGTTTATAGTCCCAGTCGCAAGGTGCCATAACGTTCAAAGTTGTCCCAGGCATCAAAGAGGAGGCACAAAGCAAAGAGCCCAAGGTACAATTCATTCTCACTATTGCCGATCAGACATGAACAGTTTAGGAGAAAGAGTTGGCCTATATGGGATGTTCTATTCAGACAGTGGGGGAGTTTTCCCCTGTACGAGTACCACGGGCTGCTGGTTTGATGGATAAGCTTTTGTTCCCATTCATCTTCAACACAAATGGTTTGCACTAAACCTCTCAGCTCCCCGTCCAGCTTACAAACATTCTCTGTCAATCTGTTCCTAAACCAAGTGAGCTGTCTCACAGCCTGCTGTCTACATGAAACCTCAATTATGACTGATTTGAAATGCTGTACACAGCAACACTCACTCGCATTGCACAAATAGCACTCTTCACGTGAAGCCTGCAAGAAACTCGAGTCAGAACTGTTAACTCCTGATTAATTCCAATAGAATTAAGAACATGTTGCTAAGCTAAAGATATGATGCAATTAAAGACAAAACATAGATCGCATGCACAATATTACGTAAAATTAAAAAGTTTTGGTGGTAATTATCTACAGTATACTTTTTAGCAAAGTTTTGTGATGCATTCTGAGATTGCTTTATCCTTGAAGAATAAATGAAATGCTGACTGAAATTTCAGTCAAAACAACATAGATGTAAATTAACATAATTGTGCCTAAAATGTTCCCTAGGCTGAAAAGTTGTAAAACCAAAAGTGCACGATAAATAAAGTTATTGTCTCCCAAAAGAAAGAATTGACTCTGAACAGCCTAACCGAGTCGTCAGTTTTCAAATCCCACTTCTGTGACTGCTACATGTCACGGGGGAATATGTTCTACATTGGCCGGCCGCGAACAACTTGACCCGACAGTTGTAAAACCAAAAGTGCACGATAAATAAAGTTATTGTCTCCCAAAAGAAAGAATTGACTCTGAACAGCCTAAACGAGTCGTCAGTAATTCGAATCCCACTTCACATTTGCACATTTGGTAACATATTTGCATAATCCTTGCCTATGTTCTACGTTGGCTGGCCGCGAACAACTTAACCCCCGCCCTCAAACACTGTGATTTGTTTGCAATGGGCATATCATTTCCAACACACGCTGTACACGGTAGACCAATCACAACAGACTGGGCCATCTGACCAATTAGAGCAGAGCAGGCTCACAGAAAGGAGGGGTTTAGAGAGACTGAATTTTACAACTTCTTCGAATTAATCGTTTGAGAATCGTTGGAAAATGATTTGATATTAAAGGCATATTTTGAGAAAAGGAAAGAGATTTTGACCGTGCATGCATGTAAACCTATTGAAGGAGACTCCTAAAACAATATTAGGAACTTTATAAATGGCATAATTGGGGCACTTTAATATTTTTGGAATACCATCATACGTTTTTTTCTTTGAATGAAAGCTCAAAAGAATAGCATGCATTTTTAATACATAGAAACCTTTTTTAACATTATAAATGTCTTAACTGTCAATTTTTATATATATTTTTAATGCATCCTTGCTAAATATAAGTGAATACATTGTTTTAAAAACAAAAATCTTGACCACAATCTTTTGAGTGTTATGTTATAAGTGAGGACTGTACCATTTCTTTGCAAATCTGTTATATTCCTTTTGCTGTGCTGTAATGGTTTAAATATGTTTCAGTTTTGAATTCAGTCTGCAGTACACCCGCATGCGTGTGTTATCCAATGACCGTAGTTTACTGTTTTCCGCACGTGTAATGAATATGTTGAAGTGCTGCTAATTGGCTGCACATGTGTAAGAGGGATAAAAAAATGGAGTGCAAGACCGAGATGAAGCATTCCCTCAGGATGTATTGGTGTGTTTGTGGGGAACGTTGTCCTCTGTAACATCATGTTTCTGTATGGCACAGGCAGCTCTCTAAATCAACACAAGCCACTCTGCGCTTTGGGAACTTTGCTGTCTCCGTTTGCTCTCAATAACCCTTTACCTTCTTATTTGTCTTTTTTGCTTATTTGATATGTCTACACAATCACTCTAATCCTTTAAACACCTCATGATGTCCTTTGTTAGAGAAACGCTAATGACAATCATACAGAATTTCCAATTGTTGCATTGTAGTGCGTATGTGTGGAAAGTAAGCCTGTCTGCTACCCAAAATACACCTTTATTTGGTCATGGTTTAGTGAGAGGGATGGAGCAGATGTGATTTGAATCTCATCCTTCTCTAATTTCATTTTAATCCATTTAATGTTGTTCATTTTAAAGCTGTTTCTCTCTCTCTTGCTCTTCAGATGTTTGTAAAGACGCTTTTTGACTACAGTCCAGCTGAGGATAAGGCGATCCCTTGCAAGGAGGCAGGCTTGGCATTCAGAAAGGGAGATATCCTGCAGGTTATGAGCCAGGACGATGCCACCTGGTGGCAGGCCAAACTGGAGGGTGATGGCAACCCGCACGCAGGACTCATCCCATCCAAACATTTTCAGGAGAGGTTAGCCAATGCTTTTCTCTCTTCCCTGCTCCTTTCCTCCCACTATCACCAGTTTTAAATTCAACAGTACTCCATGACTCAATCATCCTGTCCGCCCTCTGTCCAGCCCCCTCATATATCATATTTTCCTGTCATGCATGCATCTCTCTGTCTCTCGATCATTCCAGACTTCTTCCACTCCATTACAACCTGACTTTCACTCCCTACCATGAAAGGAATGACTTTTCTTTGAGTGAGTGAGTTTTTTTGTCTGTCTTGTCATTTTTTTCCCTTTTTGTGCAAGAGGGCTCGGCCAAAATACTTTGGATTTCCGTGACTGTCTGGGCTGGAATGAGTAATGACAGACAATGATAGCACTGGTTCACATCCACTTTGGACGTCCACACTCGGAAAATTGCACATCAGTGGCGTTCTTCGTAAAGTGGACTCTGACGTGCATGAACATGTGTGCTGCCTTAGGAAATGGTTTCTTTGCTCTGTTTCTCTTGAAAAAAGTAACTTTCAATTGTAAAACATATTTTTTAACCTGTCAAATGTACAGTAGCAAGTGCTGTTTCTGGCTGACCATTCTTTCTCTCGCTCACACACATACTCACTCACTCACTAATGGATACTTAGGCAGGTAGCTCTGCATTGTAGTTAAGTGTTTAGTAATCCCCATACGGTCGTAAAATCTGATGGTTTTATTGCATGTCTCTGTGGCTGTGCTCACAGAAGCAGAATAGGCTTGTCAGTCTGGTTTAGAGTGTTAAATTTCTAATTATCAAAATACTTTTACACATTTTGGTTATAAACAAAAGTGACAAATGTATTAGATGGCCAGACTGACACCCTTACATTTTCAGCACACATTGCCGTCGGTTGATTCAAATCTGTTGGATGAAATTGCTTCTCACTCGTATCAGTTAGTAAATACATTTGTCAATCCCAAACACTGACTTTGTGAATGTAGACTATTTATTTGCCTCTCTAGCTCCTTATCTTTCTCCCTCACTTTTTTCAGGAGGTTTGCAGTCTGGAGACCCATGACCGTCACGACTCTTCAGAGAACCCCCAGCAAAAGATTTTGTAAGGACCACACTCATGCAATCATGCAGCAACTAACCACTGAAATGCACACATACACAGCAGGGCTCAACAATAATTATTTTTTTCCTGCTAGTCCAGTCAGGCTATTAGTTGTGGCCTTACTATGAAATAATTATTGATTTTTATTATTAACCGTGTTTTTTTTTCTTTATTTATATTTAATATTTTTTATATTTCTTATTTCTTAGTATTTCTTATTTAAATATAAGTTTTTATTTTCATTCACAAAAGTGAATTTTTTACAAAAATGATTTTTAACAAGCTGTAGCTTACAGATACAGATATAATGTAACATTCATAAACATTTTGCTGGAAAATGATAGCATATGATGCAAAACATTACTGATCGGTTTGTTTTCAGCCTTTTTACTGGTACTTTCAAGACTGTCACAAATATTTTTTTTATTTTTTTAATTTTGACAAAATCTCACCCATGTTGGCAGCTAGATAACAACATTATCTTGGTGACAGATCATCATAATGCAAAAATGGTGTTGATTTATTTACAGAGATACAGAAACAGTGGTTCTCAACCAGAGGTCCGGGGCCCACCGGGGGCTTCAGCAAACTTTCAGAGAGACTTTAGAGAAGGATGACTAAAAAACATTTAAATTCATAATTTTTTGTTAGTATTTAAAACAAAAAAAAGAAGTCTAATGTAAATGTAAAAAAAAACTACAACTATGTAAGCATTTACCGTATTTTTCCCTCCCTCAATTACTATTGTTCTTATTGAAGAACATGCAGTTCTTAAAATTTCTGTAAGCACAAAGTGAATCATGGTTAATTCATTTGATATATCAGTACTCTCGGTTTCTGTTCATTAAAAAGTTGAAAATTAGCAGCTTTGTCATAATTCCGGTAGAAATTCCGGAAATATCATAGCCTATTTGGGTGGAGGGGGGTCTTTGAATGTTATGTTGGGCAGCGTGGGGCCACTGGTGTAAACATTTTTGTTCAAGGTCACTGAATGTAAACATTTTCAGTGGTAATGAAAAAAAACCTTCTCGCTGACCTCAGGCCAGCAAACTACCTTATTGTTGAGCCCTGTACATACTCATCCTTTTGTTCCTGGAATACAGCAGAAATTATTTTTAAACTGTTGTACGCAAGAGGCCCGTGTATTGCAGATGCTGTGATGTTACTATTTGAGTAGAGCAATGGCTAGAAAAAAAGATGAAGAAGAATAGAAGGAACAGCAACCGGAAAAGATTGTATGAGAGGTAGGGAAGGTTGGGAAGTGCAGGGTGAAGTGAACACGGTCAGGGAGCCCAGACTCCCCTGATTGGTGCCAGGCAGATATGTGCACACGTGTATTCATGTACATGTGCATTAATGCACGCCTGGACATAAGCTTCCTCTCCTGGTTTCCATTAATGTCTGTTGTCTGATTATTGTATGCTTGTGTGCGTGTATTTGTACACAACAGCTCTAATCTCTCCCACTGGCTGACAGCAGGGGTCTTTACGGAGCTGTGCTGGGTTACACATGGGCACACTTAAAACTCACCACGAGACAGATGCACAGCAACACTCTCGACATGTTGCCTTCATCTATACAGCCACACACACACTTGATTGAATAATACAGCCACTCTGGATTCTTTTCCCCCATGCCACATGTTTGGCCTCCCACCTCTTCCATTTTTCTCCATCACTCTATCAGCTACTTAAAACAATGAGAAGGAAAAGGGGACCCAGGGGTCGTGAAACTGCCGTCGTCTTTGCAGACTCTTTACATTTCACATAACAAATAAGCATAAGTAAAATTAAAGTGCTGCTTTTATTCAGCTTTTCAAGTGTAGAATTTTTCGGAATCACATCACATATGGGAATTTGTCAGAAAAACTTAAAGCTCCATGTATGACTTGACCAGAAACAGACCAGATACAGTACCAATCCAAATGTGTTCCCACACAGGTATAGATGCTTATATGTGTGTTTGGAAGAAAGAAAGTTGTTTGTTTGAAACTGCATGAGCGTGTGCTTTAAGAGTAAGACCATCTGTCTACAGGCCTGCAGTGAAGTTGAGGTAAGGGGCTTTCTTTGGATGACTGAACACACGCTAGTGCTTTGCACCGCAGATATGCGCACTCAAAGCCTTACTTATCAGAACGGCATGATTAGCTGTGGCTAGCTAGCTAGTTGAGGCTGTATGTCATATCCATTACAAACTGCACACCCCTGGGCAGGTACAGAAAGTAAAACTTTCAGGGTTTCCACAGTCAGAGAAAATTTTTAAATCATTTACAAATCATGGTTTTCAAGCATGGAAATTAATCTTAAAAATCATGGATTTTTCCAGTACGTTGACTTTCACAGTTGTTCATAGTTCAAAAATATTTCATTCGCAAAAGTATTTTTTTAGAGATTAAATGAATTAATTTAAGTCATTATCCAGTAGATGCTCATAAATGACTTTAAAAAAAGGGGTTAAAAGGGCTGGGAACACAGTAATTTATACTGTAGTTGAATTGGTGTACATATAGGTTGGTCTGGTGTAGGTTAATGTTAAGGGATGGTAACTAGAAGGTTGCTGGTTCAGTCCTCACAAGGAACGAGCACCGTCATTCCCCTAAACAAGGTACTTAAAGTTGGCTTGAAATGTAAATTCACTCTTCTTGTTGCTTAAATTAATCTTTATGATCCTATTGTGAACAATTCATCCATGTATAGGTTTCTTTTTTTTCTTCTTAATCAAAATGTAATAAGTCAGTTTTCCAGTGAGGCAGACTTTGTTATAATAGACTGCAAGCTTGCGTTCCGATCTGCATCCATCCAGTCAACAACCGATAGAACCAAATCTATATTTTTTTTCTTGCTTGATAATCCCTTTTACACAGAAGTGTAAAATCTGCAATCTTCCAGTTACCATCCCTGAAAATTATTAATATGTTTTCTATAGACTAGTCAGTTAATGTCTGTTTGTATTGTTTACAAGTGGATTCCTCTTAATACATCTTGTCTCATCGTCATCTCTTACAATTAACTTTTCTTTCTTCATCTTGCGTCTTCATGAGGAAAAAAAAGTGTCTTCTGGTTACACTAGCTGCATTTACATGCAACCTAATATTAGTTAACCCTAATGTCTTGAGGACCACTGATCACAGGCTTCTTGTTGTTATTGTAGTGTTGACATTGCACGTGGAACCAGGGCCGTTTCTAGGCATAGGCGAGCTAGGCAGTCACCTAGGGCGCCACCAGCTGAAGGGGCGCCAATGAGCGCGCGTACTGGCACTTTTAGCAGGGTTGTGATAAAGAGTGGGATGGTCACCCTGAAATATGACTGCCGCCCCCACTGGATCCCCCAACATTATTGGGCTAGAGTACTGTAAATCTGACGATGGCTGTATGCCACTAGATCAGAGTGCTGTCAATTGCTGCCTGATTGTTGTATGCAAAGTTTGCATTTGGAGCGCTCAACAACGCCATTAGATCAGTGGGCTCTGTCAGTGCTTTGGCAAGGTAACACTTTTTTTTGCCATGCAATAAAGCTGAGTTCAAAGGCCAATTTAAAATATTGGTACAGTAAATAAAGTGCACAAAATCAGTATTTTGTTTAGGCAGTATTTGTGGCACTTTTGTGGCACATTTGTCCAAATATTTGTAGCAGATTTGTCCAAAAGGTGATTTCGCCTAGGGCGTCAAATTGGCTAGAAACGGCCCTGCGTGGAACCATTTTCTTTGGAATATATGTAATGCCTATGTTAACTGATATATTTACATTGAATAGGGTGCATATAAACAGTACATTTGGAATCTACAGTGGGATTGATGTAAATCTGTGTATGTAAACATAGTGAGTCGGTAGCTCTATCCTGCCTGTTCACATGCTCTGGTTCATGCCCTTTGTTTGTTTGACCAGATATACTTTCATACTTTCAGATATACGTTCTGTCATCATTGTAGATATGGAAACAACTTGCACCCCTTTAATGTACACTCACCATCCCCACTTATTTGAATTAATCATCTGTTCTAGATTCATTTATAAACTGTTGTAGGCAAAAGGCATCTAATAATCAATCTTGTTTCCATATTTGCGCTGTCCAATTTATATCTGTGGTTGCAATTTTTAATTTTTTTTGGTACTCTGTGACCAATTACCATTTTTAAAAAATGGATCTTGGGACACGTTTTACTGTTCTTTATGATTTAAAGTTCTTTTCTGTTTCAGTTTCTCTGAAAAACACTGTCAGTAATTATGAGAGACATGACAGTTATCCATTTTCACCTGTAAATCATACCCATTTACTTAGCATATTTTTTCTTATCCTAAGCTTAGTGGCCTCGCTTCTTGTCCCAGACCTTAAACATGCCCTTATATCTGCTTTTAATTTTTTTTTTCTTTTTTAATTCATTTTGTCTTTTTTGTCCTTTGGGTCACACCGACAAGCAGGCAGATGCTTAAGGATTCACTTGACTGATAGCACACAAAAGATTTTACTGCCCTCCATCCTCCTCTTCATGGTATTGCTTTTTTGGCAGGACTGTGTGAATGTGTATGGCAGGCCGTGTAGATGCTGCCCTTTGCTCGTATGTGTTTTGATTTAAGCTTGTTTAGTAGAATTGAGACCACATGAACTGGAGGAAGCTTTTAAAGTGACTCCAAATGTTCTCATGTCTTCAGGCCTGCACGTGCACACTCAAAAGCACACTTTCTCTGCTGTTATGAACTATGTTAATTGTTCGGTAGTTACAGTTACCTATGAGGTAAGCAATGGTTTACCACTTAGTAGCATACTAAAGACTTTTCATAGAAAACAAACATGGAATTTTACATTAGTTTGACATTTAAAGGGATAGTTCTCCCAAAATTGAAAACTGTGATCATTTCCTCACCCTCATGTTGTTCCAAACCTGCATGACTCACTTTTTTTTGTGAAAAAGAATACTTTTTGTAGAACATTGGGGTTAAAACCTCATTGGACCCCACTGTCTTTCATTAAAACAGTAGACAAAGTAAAACAGGTTTGGAAA